AGAGGCTTCTCCCTGTCATAACAAAAGCAGTGCCGGCTTAAAATAACAGTAGTTTGTGTGAGAGGTTTATACCGAGCCATAAAACACAGGAACTTGCCAATGCACGCCACATAAATAGTGAACAGTTAGCGTAGCGAAGAGCGGGTGATGCTACGAGGCCGGCCGTGTTATCGACTCCGCCGTTTTTATCTTCTTCATAGCCCGGGTCCAAACGGTCACAACTTGACCTCTGGCTCCGGGAGTGTAAAACAAACACGACCATTAGAAGTCCCTGGTTCCAGTGAGGAGCTCGTAAAAAAAAAAAAACTCTCGGTCCCAGGAGGCTGATCTCAGCACAGCTTGTCCTCGCCGTTTCAGAGGGAATTCTTGGCCACGGGTCAGCAGTTGTCAGACAGAAAATTTTCCAGGTGAAAAAACAATCTGGAAACACTCGGTGAACTTTAAACCAGCTGAACATCTGGTAGTCAGCAGAGCGATCCAGTCCACTTCTTCTTCTCTAACATGAAGCATGCTGGGTAATTAAAGTCTGTGCCAGGAAGGTTTTTCAAAACCAATTGTGGATCAAACGCTGTCATGTGATGCCTGACACAAGCAGACAGACAGAGGTCGCCACCGCAATAACACGTGTGTGTGTGTGTTTGTGTGTGTGCAGCATGTTGGAGGATGACCTGAAGATCAGCAGTGACGAGGAAGAGGCCGAACAACAGGTGAGCTCCACTGACTCCCCCGCCCCCTATTTTATTCCTCCCATTTCTATGTGTTTGTATAAACGGCCTCAGTGACGTTGACTCATCGTTTTTATCAAAGGGGAGCAGGTTAGAGCCGTGCAGCAGGTACACACTGTACCTTTACACTGTACGCCAAACACACCGGGGCGGGTAGGGTGGAGGTAAGAGGCTATGTATGGAGGGAGGTCAAAAAGTTCTTGTTCTGTAATTGAAAAACCAAAGACAAACAGAGGAGGTTTCTGACAAACTTTAACCACCGCCGATAACAGTTATTTTAGTTCCCAAAAATCCATTAAGACAGTCTTGTTCCATCAGTGGCGTAATAACAAATTTCTCACAGAAACTGGTTGGTGAGCAGAGAAACACGTGGTAACGCGATGCTACGTGCAGAAGATGGCTTTGTTTACATTCATCAGTTGTTAGCGATATTTTAGATTGTGCTACATTTGTTTTTGTTGTTTGTTCTTTTTGGAAAATGTTTGCCCTTCACTTTGACTCCCAGGCACATGTCAGACTCTTCTGATGTGTTTGTGTCCTAGATTGTGACGTTAGCGTAGGTGTGTGACATACATAGGTACATATGTACAGTATGTGAATTCCCATAGTTCTCACTAAAACAAAAGGTTTTTTTAACAGAGTTTAATCCTGTTAGTGACCAAACAAAAGTATAAAAGGTTTGGTTTCCTCAGTTCAGTCTCCCCTCTGTCACTTTTTTCTTATTTTTGTCTTCATTTCAGCCGTTCCTTTTTTTCCTCGTCTTCTTGTTTTTGTTGCTGCTCCGAGGCTGAGGCCACACATCAGGGGGTGATGCATTCTGGTTGCTTTTTATCCACCGGGGGGGCGACTCAGCTCATTTACCTCGGTGTCCGTCGGCTGAGCGGGCTGACTGTGTCATTTCTGGCCTCTTTGCATACGAAGCGTGCAGTTGTGCCGCTCTGCCATTCCTGTTTTTCTGTATGAAAATTGGCACCGCGGCCCCGCTCCCTGCTCTAATCATCATCAGGCACTAATGATGCCAGCCATGAGTTCAAAGCAGTCAGTGGGGGTGATGCAGCTGCCCCCCCTCCCCCGCCCTCTCCCCACTGTGCAGACTCATATCAGCACTCATCAAAGAGGCCACGAGATAGTCACTGCTAATGAAAAGAGAGGAATTCCTTTCATTCCCTTTTAACTGGCCTTCTGATTGTATAATTGCCATAATGGCAGATATTGTAATTAAAATGGACGGCAGGTCATTTGTAGTGGTTTTAGTTATTATAATTACGCTGGAAGTATATCTGTTAATTATAGATATTTAGAGCACATTCAGAATTATAGCAGGCAGCTTCCTTAATCATAGTGCTTGTATATAATTACTCCCCGCACTGTTCAAATGAATAGCGTTGACAAAAATAGGATACACTGCACTTTTATGTCAAAAATGCTTTTTTTTTCATTCATTTGCAGCAGCATCACAATTATTTTAAAAATATTGTCAAAAACAGTTATAAGGGATAATGTATTTTTTAATGTTTACATTTGTTAGAAAATATATATATCATATTATTGACATATATATTGACATGTATATATATATATATATATACTATATTATATATTATATATGTTAATGAAAATATCAATCCTACCAAAAAAGGTTACTTAATATTTGGATTATACTGCAGTTCTGAACCAAGTAATTCATAGTTACTGCATATTGGTCAGTCACAGAAAATCATATAGCCAAAAGGTGGCAGTAGAGAAACCGAAATAATTGCAAAAAGTGTAAAAATTAAAAGTGAAAAAGAAGAAGACTGATAAGAGTAAAAACATTTGCAGAATTATTGTTATCGTATTAAATGCAGTCTTTATGACATCATTGACACGCAGCCCCACCATCAGTGGTCCGGGGTCAAATTACATATTATTACTGACATCTAGTGGTGGGCCGGATGTGGGTGCGACATTGGCTGAAAGTGGTTCGCGGGCCAAAACTTTGAGTCCCCTGTAGTAGATAATCAATAGTTATGGTACATTTGGAAATCGTCATAAAGATGAATGTAGAGTCTGGTTTCAAATGAAAAATGACTTGATAGAAAGGTTTCTTTCCATCTCATTCTTCTGCTGTTGTCTGCTGTGTCAAGTGTGTTACACTGGCCCACATCTCCAGTCTGTGTAATTTCACCTCGACGTCCGTATCTTTCACTTTGGACCACTGTGCATGACAAAGATGGAGGATGATGAAAGTAAACAGGGAGTGAAGTGAGAGCGGGAAAAGAAGGAGTAAATAAGTCAGCCACACAGGGAGGGAAATGAAAGACAGAGACGGACGATTGATAAGACAGACAAGACGGGGGAAATGGAGAGAGGGAGGGAGGACGAGCAGAGACAAAGGGCGAGAGACAAAGAGGGTGAGTGAGAGAGATGAGGAGAGGCGGCAGAGATGAATTCACAGGCTCTTCTCTGGACACGCTGTTAACAGGTTTACAGCAAATGACTGCATGGTGTATTATCAGGCTCTTAGCTCCGTAGCCTGGAGTCAAATACGGCAACACAAACACACACACACCTTATCAAACACACACACGTTGACTCTGTGGAGGATGTTTTCACAGCCATTTTACATGCGTTAAAAACTAGGGCTGTCCAACGATGGAAACTTTTAATGTGATTAGTCACAAGTTAGCTGTGGATTAATCACGATTAATCGTAATTTTAAGAGAAAAAAAAACAAACAACATAGCTAACCATTCTGTATATTGCTGGGATAGAAACACCAGTATCAGCAGATAGAGGTCAGTGTTTCTCACCTGTTTTTATTTGTGACTAATCCAAAGGAAGGAATAATTAAAAATGTGAATAAAAATATTTTATGATTAATCAGTTAATTGCAACTATTGTTTTCTAAACAAATAACAATCCATCTGACTGTTGTGTCAGTCAGACAGTCAGTCAAACTGTAGACTGACTGACTGTCCTGGTCTCAGTCACAGACGCAGACCTGAGGTTGAGCCTCCTCTGGGAGTTGATGATGGGATT